ACGCCTAAAAGTGTCGTCGGGCCGTTGCCTCCGACGAACTCCACACGCCGACGGGCCCTCATTCTCCCAAGCAGCAAGGAGATATTGCGATGTGCTAAAAACGCATGTTGCAAGCGTATGTTTCATGTGTTTCATAGGTACGTTGCAATTGTTTCATGCGGATGTTACAAAAATAAATCGAGATGTTGCATATGTTGCAATGGTTGTACACGTATGTTGCAAATGGCTGTTTCCAATGTTTTATCTGTGTTTTTGGATGTATGTTGCAAGAGTTTTATCTGGATATTGCGTATGTTTTGCAATATTTTCCAAGTGTTTTTCTAGATGTTTTTATAAGTGTTTTAGAAACATGTTTCAAGTGTTTCATCTGCCTGACGTATGTTGCAAGTGTTGCATCTCGACGTTTCAAAAGTAAATCAGGTGTTGCATCTCCCTCGTCGCTTTTTCTGCTGCCTCACGTCGGTGTCTTCTCCTCCTTTGGGCGCCGGCTGAGCATCCTCCACGCGCCCTACTCCTCTTTTTCGATGCTGGTGACTTTCGGAGCGGTGCGGGAAACTTACGCCGGAAACAGATGAAGAGGGCGCAGGCGGTTCCCGCATGGCATGCGCGCGCCATAAGCGGAGGGGGCACGCGTGGGAAGCGGGATGGGGCTCAGGTGTCCAGCTGAAAAGACATGGAGGGAGGCACGAAATCCTACGTGTGCGCGGATGTGCGTGAATGGAGCAGGAGGCACCGGCGTCCATACACGAACGTATTCGGGAGGTAGTAAGGCCATCGCTGTGTTTATTTCCCCCTCCTAAACTTTAGTCTCTGTCACATCGGATGTTTGACATATGCATGGAGTATTAAATGTAAAATAATTATGAAACTAAATGCACAGATTGAGACTAATTTGCGAGACGAATTTTTTAATCCTAATTAGTTTATGATTTGACAATATTGTGCTACAGTAAACATGTGTTAATGATGGATTAATTAGGTTTAATAAATTCATCTTACGAATTACTGAAAACTTGTATAATTTATTTTATTACTACTATCCGATCCACTAAACTTTAGCTCGTGCATCTGAACACATCGGAGGCCCACGTTGAAACGGACCTACTTATCCCAGTACAAACGAGGCTGAAGTCAAAGTCAAACATCTCCGCCTGTCGGCTTTCCCTCGAGCGCCCAGCTGTCGGGCCCCGCCTGTCCCATCCACAGGACTTCGGCGGCGCAAGTTTGCCGAGGCCTCGTTTAAGGCCCGTTTGGTAAGGCTCCAGCTCCTCCAAAAACAGCTCCGGTTCCGACTCTTATAAAGGAGTAGATTCTCTTAGAGAGTTGAAGCCGTTTTTTTTACCGTTTGGCAAAACAGCTTTTCTGGGTGGCAAAAGGAGTAAAAAGTCCATAATACCCTTTTTTCTATTTTTCTCTTTTCTTTTTTTTACTTTTCCTACCTTATCCAATCGCTTGCGGTTGCAACCACACGCCCGCAACGCGAGTACGCACGCGTCTTCAACCTCTGGAGCGACCGAGCGACTGGAGGCCGCACGCTCATCCCACCGCCGCCGGCGCATGGGAGTATGCCCGGCCATGGGCCACCGGCGCCGCGCCGCCCTCCCCCACGCTAGCTCGTCCTCCGCGCACCCTCTGTCCCGCACCTACCCGCGCTCCTTCGCCCACAGCGCCACGCCGCAGACTCCGGGCGTCCGGTCCTAGCCATGCCCGTCTTCGCCACGAGCGTCGGCTCCCACGCCGGGGGCAAATTCGCTTAGGGCCCCATGATCTGAGCACGGAGCCAGGTGAAGCTCGATTTTTTGGCTCCCATCGACCGATCTCGCACCAGAGAGCGCAATATGCGGGGCTCCTTCGTCGGGAGTACCTGCCTCTATACCCGTTTGGCTGTGGGAGCTAAAAAACAGCTCCAGGAGCTGGTTGAGAATCCCTACCAAAGGGGCTCTTAGTTGCGATGTGCAAAGTTGGCAAAATGTACTGTAGTGTCACTGTAACATTTTCGTTTGTATTTGGTAATAATTGTCCAACCGTTAACTAATTAGGCTTAAAATGTCCGTCTCGCAAAGTACAACTAAACTGTGCAATTAGTTTTTAATTTTATCTACTTTTAGTATTCTATGCATGTACCACAAGTTTAATGTGACGGAGAATTTTTTTTTCATACGGTGCCAAAAGTTGGGAGTTAACAAGGCCCGAGCCACTGAGGCCGCCGCTCCGACCAGCCATCACCTGGTTTTTGGTTTGAACCAGCGGCCACCGCGACATCGCGGTCCGTCAGCTGAACCCCCAGTAGTACCCTCCCCTCGTTAAGGCCCCGTTCGTTTTTCCGGGAATCACCCCCCAGGAAGAATTCCCGGCCGGAATCGTTAGTCAATTTGTATAAGTTTTTGTTAGCTAGAATGATTTCGGGTGTCATTTTGCTGAAAACGAATTTCATCTGTCCACCGAGCGCTCGGGAGGTTCCGGATGGGCTTGCGTGGAGTCTGGAGTCGTCGAGTCGGCGGTCACCGGTCATCGTGGCGACGGCGGACCTCGTCCATCTGACGCTCGATAGTCCCGGTTCCTCGCCTTCGTGGCAAGTTCATCCTAGATGCGCCCGTCGAAGGTACGCGTTCCTCGCCTTATCTTCAGTTTTTCGTCCCCGTGCTCGGTTCTGCTCCTTGACCCATCGATGGCTACAGGCACGTTTCGTAGCTAGTACTTGGCCCCTTGCTCTTCGGTTCCGGTTGATCGAATCGTTTGTTTTTGTTATGTTGTCCCCATCGACAAGTGGCGAGACCATGCGCTTTATTCTCCACATTCGTCAGCATTGAAGGCTTCGATGGTTACTGCGATTATGACTGGTTGAATTGAATCTGTTGGCTGCTCCATTGCCTCAGTGCAATCCAGCCATTGTCCTGTCACAGTCCTATCCTTTTGAATTTCAGCGGAATATTCTGTCACGCTCCTTTGTTTCTGTATTCCAGCGTAATATCTGCCACAGTCTTATCTTCTAATGATAACCGGCTCCCTGCTGCGCTTGGTTATAGTTTCATCAGTCATCATTTTCACACCGAGCATGACCTTACAAGAACTCCGATAAGGGGCTTTGCTGGTACCACACTACCACTCCTTTCCCCTGAGTTTGCTGAGTCAGAGAACGATCTCCATCTAAGGAAACATGATTTAAGTTGTTGGCCCAATATTGCTACTAGTATGTGTCAAACCAGTATGCTAACGCAGGGACATTTAGTGGTACGTGTATCACAGAGAGGTAAATAGGACACTCGTGGGTGATTTGGGTGGAACAAAATGGCATGGCAGAACCGCAGAAGGTTGTCTTTGAAAGAAAATGAGAGATTTTGGACTAATTTGTTGTATACATAAATGTATCCTATACTCAACTTGTTGCAAGAACTTTCTGGACATTGGATATGCCCCCTTCCCAAGCGAATGGATACCTTAGTATGTAATTACCAACATGAATTAATCAGATGTCAACTAAATGGTCTGCTTGTCGGCAATTTCCCATTAGGACTGAACTTTTTTTTTCTCCTGTAATTTTTTAAACATGTGAAATTGAAATTTGATGTTATCGATCGATCAACAAGAGAATCTGGTAAACTCAGTTCAACTCCTGTTTCATTGACTGGCTGTCTGGCTGCTAACTTGAATTCAATTTTTAATTTACTTCTGTGATTCTTTGTACTGTATTTGTTCCTGATTTTTGTCCTTCTGTATTTTGGTGCACACAACATGCAGGCTTAAGTTGGTAATACTGAGTTAATAGCTTCGACTCAACATGTTCTGTTTTCCTCTTGGCATTGTTGGGTAATAGCCTTGTTTCACTTTGTGTGGAATGCCTTTCTGACCTGTAGTAGAATTGTAGGTTCTTTAATCTGGGTGTGAACATTTTTTTGAATTTAGGCTTACTACTGTTGAGTGAGAAATGTGATCATTTTCTTTTGTTTCTGCACCTGCCATCCTTTTGACAGATTTCAGCAAATGCCCCGTGTATGGACTTAACATGTAAGAACTGCCAGTATATCATTTGCTAGTTCACATGCCTAATGTCAAATATGAAATATCTGTACAATAATTTTCTCTTTTATTTTTGCACATCTTCTTTATGAGCTTACTTATTACTTCTATACTGTTCAACTCAATGGAAGGCACTGTATATCGAGTCCATACATTTGGTATTATTGACTGTGCTTGTCAATGGTGTATGTGCACTTGTATGCATGGATATGCTTGTATTACTGTTACTGGGTATTATAACGAGAAGTGCTGAGCTGTCAATTATGATCACTTGAGTAGAGGGCAGTGATCCCATTGCTTATGTTATTTTTTGTATGGAGCATGGAGTTGTCATACCAATCTTTTCATTGTAGCACTTTCAATAACCCCAACCCCAATCCCCTCGCCCCGCTGAAGCTGATATTATTCTTGATCTCTATCAGATAAGGATGAGAAAATTGTGCCCGCGGTCACAATCATGGTTGCTTCCTGGATGAAAAGGTTCTTCCTCTGAAAGCTACAATTTACTGCTGTCATGCAAAAAGCATTCTCAATTTTCACGCCAGCCATTTTGAACAGAATGGTTGTATATAAACTGTTGTCCTGTACATTATTCTGTTGTTTTTGCTTCTTTTTTTTTGCCAGTCGTTTTGAATAAGGTCTTTATTGCTTATTAACACACAATTTGCTTGAGTATGTTTGGTGCAACATGCCAACTTCTCCCATTTTAATCAGGTAAAGTGGAAGCTAAGCTATCAATGTCATTCTTTATACATATTACTGTTGTAAGTTCGCTGTAGAATATTAAGAGGGGAATCAGTATAGTTTTTATTTTCCTTCAGAACATTCAAAAGATTTGCTAGAACTGAGATCTATAATTGTGGAGTGAACTCAACAGCCTCATTGTATCATTAGAGAACGAACTGCAAGGTTCTAATTATATCCTTGTTTACTGGGGTATGTACAGCTATCTACATATGCATGCATACAGCACTTCTCATTAGCTAAAATATAGATAGTGACTGGTTAAGACCCTTGGAAACCATGGTCATGCTACTCATGCAGTTGCATGGCATTACAACAGAGCTAAGGACCGCCCTTTCCACTTCTTCTGAGGGCTTTCTCCTAAGCAAGCACATCACGTACTCCATCACTTCGCCCTCACAAGGCACTGTGATCCTGTCTTCACTTGTGAACCCAAACTCGTCCTCGGACATCCGCAGGAGCTCCACAAAAACGTTTGTATTGAGATACGCCAAAGGGACTTCAAATCGCTTACCGTCAGCTGTGTAGACGACACAGTGACCCTTGTTCGCTATGGCTGATGTGCAGTATAGGTTGCCATCTTTGATCGTTGTGATTATTGTTCGCCTCCTTCTCCCAAGGGCTGCCATATGTTGCCACTTCTTTGCCAGTTGAACTAGCCTCTTTGAATTTATCATGGTGTAATTCTATGGGATAAACTTTTGGTGCACTGTGCTAGTGCTTCAGTTTTTTGATGAGTTTGTGAAGATGATATGCACTACTGCGCTAGTTTCATGTACTTATAGGATAGCAAGGGAGCACTAGAGCCATAAGCCATGTCTGATGGGTGTAGGTATGACTATTTGGCAAGAGACAAAGCTATGAATTTTATCTTGCTAGACGTTGCCGTCTTGCTGTGTATGATTGAGTTTGATGCTCATTTTGCTTCTTATCCTATTGGTACTCTTTGGGTCCACTCTATTAGTCTTCTCTGCTCAGTCTATTTACATTTGCGTCAGCCTCATCCTTCCATTATGGTACACAGTTTCCTGCTGCTTGGTTCTACACTTGTAACTGGTTTGATTGGCACTCAAATTGAAGACGCATTTTATTTTATTTTATTTTATTTTATTTTTATCAATAACTAATTGAAATTTCCTACATGGACAGGTGAATTTGTTTGAATACTTTTGTAGTTTTGTTTCGTAAGATTGGTTGAAAACTAAGTTATAATAATAAATATCCAAGATAAAAGGTCCAAGATTTATGCCTCCCCATTCCCTTTCTATATCTACCACCTCAACTGATATAAGAACACTCTTCGTTATTTTATTTCAGGTAAACCCAACATATATTGATGTAAAGACTCGGGAAGGCAAAATTCTGTTTGTTTGGCTCACTTTTCATTGGCCTGGGGAGTCCTACATAAATCTGATGTCCTTTTTAGGACTCTCATTTGCTTCTGGTGGAATAACAGCTTTCTTAGTCACTACCTTATATTCTGTTCATTGCTCTAGTTTCAATACTGTGGTCTACAGTCCATAGAGTCGTCCTGCCTTTTTCCTTGCTGGACCAGCAGCTATGCAAGTGTCAGCATGTGGCCAATTTTATGTTCAGTTTTTCTGCAACCACTGTTTTATGGATTCAGTCAAACTCTGGTGGCGATGGAGACCTTTGGGGCAGTGACCGGCCTAGTCACAAACTTTGACAAAAGCTCCGCCCATCCGATCAGGTGTGAAGATCTAGACTTACAGCACATACTTGAACCTTTCCAGGGAGCCCGTAAAGATTTCCCATCCGCTATCTTGGCCTTCAGCTGCCCACCCATGCCCTTCAAAAAGTTCATGTGCAACCACTCATCGAAAAAATTAGCCATCGACTCCCAGGGTGGAAAGGAAGACTTCTAAACCGAGTGGGACATCACACTCTCGTCACATCGGTCCACCATCTGACAGTCTTCCCACTCGCTGTTTGGGCAAGAAAGCAAATTGACAAGATTCGTCTCTTCTTCACTGGCCAATTGTCTGCAACTCTGCATGCCCAAGGATATGGGTGACCTTCCGGCTATGTTGTCTTTGGCAAGAATGGATGGCAGAAGAAAAACCCTGGGCCAGCTTTGAGGCCCCCTGTAATGAAGTGGTTCGTTTCCTGTTTAACAGCCCTGTTCGCTTGTCTTATGAGCTGTACTGTTTCAGCGAAGGAACAGTGTTTTTCTCTCACGACAAATCAGTGAACAGTACTTTCAGCCATGGCTTTTCAGCGAAGCGAACAGGGCCAACAACTCCACCAGTCTCCATCGGCAATGGAAACAAAGCTAAATTTTGGCACCACAGCTGACTCGAAGGTGAGGCCACGAGGAACCTTGCACCTCACTTATTCCAACTTGCCAGAAGGAAGAATAGAACGGTACATCAAGAGTTAGAAAATGATTCATGGATCGGAGCCTTGAGAGGAAAGATCACTACAACAATGCAAACTGAAGGATTCATCTCCCTCTAGATTTGTATGCAAACCATACACCTTCAACCAGAAGTGGATAATAAAATCACTTGAAAATGGACCACACGATTTGCATGTGGCCTTCATTAGGTATGTTTCTTAGATAGAACTTTCGACTCTGACCAGAAAGCATGGCCTTTACATTCTACCAACAAAACTGATAGTAAAACTCTGAATATTGCAGCAAGTTGCCAACTGGAATGAAAGAGGCACGATGGCACATTGTGGTTCAGCTGGAACATGGAGTGGCAGTAACCTTTCAGGTTTGGATTCAGAAAATTGTGCTGAAGAATTTCTCTCATGTGATCACTGCTCAGTGAACAAAAACACTGGTGCTAACTTGCTAATTCACTACCTTCCTTGATCGTTTGCAGGATCAGAAGGATCTAATAACACCTCTCTTTGTCCTACTATCTACAGGGATGAACCACTACTTATACAGCTGCAACTAACAGCAAGCTGCCACATACGGCACCACGTGGTTTGCAGCGTGGCACGACATTACCATGGTGCTCACCCTCTTCAGCAAGCACAAGGCATACTCCATGACATTGGCATCACAGGGCAGTGTGATCTTGCCATTGCCGCCCGTGAAGCCGAACTTCTCCTTGGACATCTGCAGGAGCTCCGTGAAGACTGTTGTCCCGAGGCACGCCAAGGGCACCTCAAACCGTGTCCTGTCAGCCGTGTACACTGCACAGTGGCCCTTGCTTGCCACGGAAGTGCAGCACTTGTCGACTTCCTTTGCTGCTGCCGTGAGGCGCTTCCTCCCAAGCGCTGCCATCCTCTACCACTTCTTGGCCAGCTGAGCGATCCTCTTGGTGCTGATCATGGTTACTTCTTTCTTTCTTGGCTGGAAACTGGAGATGTGGAGAGCTCTGAGTTGAGATTGTGATGGTGTTCTGAGGCCACTTGACCTGAATATATAGCGCACTCGAACTCGAGCGGAATGGTTGAGCAAGGGACAAGGCCATGAGGACGGTGAGTGCGATGTTTGGTGCTGAATACTCGTGGTGTGCTTTCGGTGCTTGGACTGCACAGAATCCGTGCTGGCGCACCATGCTGAGCGGTGTCGCTGGGAAGTGGCACGAGGACCCCATGTTTGTTGGGGCCAGGTTTGTTCAGCTGCTGCTGCTGTGCCGTCAGATCATCAGCAGATCAGCTTGGGTTTAAAGCTTAAACAAAACGAAGACAGTGAAGCATGGAGTGCATGCTTTTGTCAGACGGCAATGCCATGCTTGAAAGAATGCAAATAAAAGCTAGTTGCCTAGTTGCGATCTTGTAGGTCCATGCAGGGAACTGCAAGAAGCTGCTGCGAAGTGGAGTTCACATGATGTGCTATTGATCCAGCAGACCACAAAGTTTGGATGGCAGAGCAGTCTTAATCCGGTCATTCAGAAACAATGAGCTGTGGGCACAGAAACTTCCAGATGTCTTACAAATAATAACAGTCTGTATCTCATTGCACAACTGACAAAATGAACCAATTTACATGTGGTCCTCATGGCCCATGAGGCATAGCAGTATGGCATCACACTATATTGTGATATGTAACGACCCAGACACTACAACATTTCTACAATTGGCTCCGACAAGTGCCAACTGCCAACAGATGATGACCCAGAGAAATCTGTTGAGAACCACACACTGCTTCCCCTTGCAGCACTGCATGTTCTGAGCTTGTGGCCTTGTCTCTTGCCAGCCAGAGGCGATAGCTACACTTGAACCGCGTGCTCTTCTTCCCCCCCTCACATATAAATCCACCACCTTCGCACCAACATTCCACCAGTCCATCAGCAACCTAAGCATTACATCTAGCAGCTAAATACCCTCTGATACAGAGGTTCTCTGAAGCCAAGAGGCTTGTTCAGATGGCAAAGAAGTGGCAGAGAATGGCCGCCTTGGCGAGGAAGCGGCTTACCTCGACGCCGGCGAAAGAAACCGAAGCGTCCCGCGGAACGTCGTTGACGTCTGTGGCCAGCAAGGGCCACTGCGTCGTGTACTCGGTTGACGGAAGGCGGTTCGAGGTGCCGCTGGCGTACCACGGCACGGCGGTCCTAGGCGAGCTCCTGCGCATGTCGCAGGAGGAGTTCGGGTTCACGGGCGACGATGGCAGGATCACGCTGCCCTGTGACGCTGCGGTGATGGAGTACGCCATGTGTTTGGTTAGAAGGGACGCTTCTGAGGATGTCGTGAGGGCGCTCTTGAGCTCCATGGACAGGCCTTGCCACACTGTCAGTGGCGTGGCGCCATCGATGGAGCTCAAGCAGCAGCTTGCCGTATGTGTATAGTTCAATAGGTCATTTTATTAGCTCAGGAGTCTCCCAGTTTCCTCTTTCCTGATGTATGTACAGTGCAGTTCTGTTTCTGTTCAGCCGAATGTAAAGTTGTTACTTAGAATCAAAGGAAATAGTTAGAAAGATGTTACCAGCTCAATGATCTTAGCAAATCAGTGTGACAAGGACTGTGTCGCTGACGCCACCGGCACTGGCGTGAAAGTTGTTCGTTTCATCTTGTCGGGGATCTAATACCGGGGTACCCAAGGAGGTGGAACTAATAACAATCGAACGTTAAAAACTCCCGAACGGACAAGAACACTACTGCGCTTCTTGCTCGAACGACGGGGGTTTGGTTCCGCCTCGTCCGACGGCTGGAGGACGGCTCCGCCTCGCCCGAGGGCTGAGGGATCGGCTCCGCCTCGCCCGACCCCTGAGGTATAAACTCCGTCTCGCCCGACACCCGTGGGTCGGCTCCGCCTCGCCTGAGGGCTGAGGGCTAAACTCCGCCTCGCCCGACCCCCGAGGGCTGGGCTCGGCCTGGCCTAAACGGATAGAAGCTAGGCTCCGCCTCGCCCGACGTCCGAGGGCGGACCTCGCCTCGCCCGATGTCCAAAGGCTAGCTCCGCCTCGCCTGACAACCGCACCCCGCTCCCTCATGACGATAGGCATAGGGTAAGACAAGACGTTCGGGTCAACCGCAACATTGAGGACCATGCCCTACGCCCCTACAGGAAAGTACCGTCAGGGCATGACAGGACGGGCGCTTAGACCCTTCCAGGCGTGGCAGAGCCTGAATAATGTTGCAGGCACGTGCTCTTCACCCTACAGTGTTGTAGGCGCCGCCTTCAGCCCTCGGGCGAAGAATCCGACACAGACATACGACAACCACTACGTTCCAAGGGGGACTCCCGTCCTCTACAGTGGCAAACGAGCGGTCACCGCGCCTTCCGCTTCCCACAGGGTCGCAGATCGACACCCCTGCCCGACACGCCGCCCGCGGAGGCGGGACGGGACGCACCCACTTGCTAAAAGAGGTCAGGGCATGGCCTACGAAGATCAACGAACACGCCACTTCTGACACTGTCTGTCATGTTATACAGGGCAGGCGTAGGGAAGAAGGAAGAATCGGACCCTTCGAAGGACCTTCTATACCCTTGGTATTTTCCTCTTTCTCCCATCTGTAACCCTTGCTCCCCCCTTGGTCTATAAAAGGGAGGGCAAGGCTCCCCACTATGGGGACCGACTTTCGACGGACAACTCACATATAGACGAGCTCATAGAGAGTTCAATTCCACATCACACACACACTGCCAAGCCGCCACCAGGCTCTTGGCATCCTTTCGAACCTTCCATCAGAGACCTAGGACCAGTCCCTCTCTCGACCATTTGTACCCCCTACTACAAACCTTTTTCGGTGCTAATAACACGAGCAGCAACAGACTAGACGTAGGGACATTCAGCTCAAACCAGTATAAACCTTGTGTCCTTTAGCGCACCATCCGGGCTTAACGCGCATCAAAACACCGACAGTTGGCGCGCCAGGTAGGGGCCTTTGCGCGTTCTAAACCAGTCCACGGATGGCTAACCACAACGTCAGCTGGGTCCCAGGTGCACACGTGCGCTTCGGGAGCCTAGATTTCATCATCACGGTGGGAGGAGAGTTGGTACGGGCACACACTGCCATCCAATCTCTCCCCTCCATCGTCCTCGACCACAAGAGGCTCGGGCGCCAGCTCGGCATCTCCCTTGGACCCCAGCAGTCCAGGGAGAACCAGCGTCGCCTTGCCCTTTCCAATGACGATGACGTGGCACGACCTTCCAAAGAGGGACACCTCTCTCCGGAGCGCCACGTGCGGAGCGCCCCGACAACGTTTCCGTTCGATCTCTGCAATGCCGCGGCGACCGCTTGCCACCTCGTGGCACTACGCATGGTTCAACCGCCTACGGACAACGAATTCGTGGGGGTAATTGAACACGACACGGAGTCCCTCCACAAACTCCTCACCGAGGAGCTAGAATCATCCTCTACCTCTGACTCCAGCAGAGGGAGCCATCACCCTTCCTGGGAATGCTTCATGGCGGAAACCTCCGAGGGGCACGTTGAAAGCGTCTCCGAGGGGGAGGCTACCCCCACGCCAGGACCGGAGGGGAGGCGGCGGCCCCATCTCACGTAAGGATGGAGCGGCTAAGCAGCACGGAAAGCTGGAGATCGATGATGCCGACAACAGCTTGTTCGGGAGTACCGGAAGATCGATGAGGAAATCAAGTGTCGCGGAGACGGTGGGCACGCACGCGCCACCGCCCATAATGTACACCAGAGGATCCTCACCGATGACGGGACCCTCCCTCACTTTGCTCGGCCAAGCCAGAACATCACCGCTGTGACGGCCTTGTTTCACGGCCTTCCAGAGGCCGCGACGTCCGAGGATCGCCGGGCCCGTCGAGAAATTCGCACGTTGCTCGAGCGTGCGGTGGCGCAGCAGGCGGAAAGCTCGTTGTCTCGGCGATGCGAGCCCGACACCAGCCAGCGCATGCCCTCGGTGCGCCCCGCCAAGGAGGCGTCGATTCACCAGACACCGCCAGGCGGCGGTAGCACACACCGCTGTCCCGGTGCATCAACGTCTCAGCCACAACCGCGACGCACGCATCACCATCGACGCCCGCAGATGTGCCTACAATGACTCAGGAGAAAGAGCCAAACATGGCTACCACCCTCGACGCGGCGTACGCTACGACAGCGGCGAGGATCGGAGCCCGAGCCCCGGCCTGCCGGTCCCTCAGGCCTTCAGCCGGCACATCCTCAACGCTGCTTTCCCACCAAGGTACCGACCGCCTACCAACATCCCTAAATATTATGGGGAAACAAACCCCGGGCTTTGGCTTGAAGACTATCGGCTTGCTTGTCAAGCCGGTGGCGCGAATGATGATGATTTCATTATTCGCAATCTCCCACTATTCTTGGCCGATTCGGCATGAGCATGGTTGGAGCACCTATCGTCCAACGCCATTCAGAGTTGGGCGGATCTGAGAGAAATCTTTGTGGAGAACTTCTAGGGCACGTACAAGCGCCCTGGGAACCCATGGGACCTCAAGAACTATCGCTAGAAGGCCGATGAAGCCCTCCGCGGGTACATCCGATGCTTCTCCCGGTAGTGCAACGAGCTCCCTAACGTCGCCGACGCCGACGTGATAGGAGCCTTCCTGTCCGGGACAACCTACGAGTCTTTGGTTCACAAGCTGGGGCGCAAGGGCCCGTAGACCACCAAGGAACTCCTGGACATCGCCATTAGCCACGCCTCAGGAGAGGAGGCGGTCGGAGCGATCTTCGACCGTTCCAACTACAAGGCTAGGCGGGACGAGGGCGCCGACGAAGGCGCCTCCAACTGTTCCGCCAAGAGAAGGAATAAGAAGCAACGACTCACTCGTGGCCGCTGCCGACCGTAGGGGTGGCCGGAAGCCCACGGAGGGCACTCCAAACCACTTCAAAAAAATGCTCAAAGGCTATGCCCGAACCACGCCTTTCCTGTAAAACATCAGCTCAAAGACTGCGGCCTCATGCGAAAGTTCTTTCTCGGAAGCACCAACAAAGGGGAGCAGGGGAAGGAACCCGCCCCCA